GAGTTATCGGGAGTCGACTGTATTTCTACGAGTATTGTGAGTCTGCTGACAAATCTTTAAAAAATTGGGTGTTTGGAAAAAAAAAAGATTACGTTGTGTGATAAGGATCGCTGAAGGTCTGTTGGTAGTTGTTTTACGACAGTTATGAAGATTGGTAGAGTTTGCTTTATTAGTAATCTGTTGTACATATATTTGGGCTTTTATATGAGCACAGCTGTTTGGCTGTTTGTAAATAGTTGCTCAACCTGTGACTTTTCACGTGCTGTTGAAACAACAAATCAAGCCGTTGCAACTAATTCAAAATTGCGACTGAAAAGTTTGATACTATCTGTCCCGTTAGGTTGAGCCAACCACCACTCTACAACAAGAGAAATTCAGTGTGAGTTGTGACTCGGTCAGCCAAAAGATTTTCACAACAAAGGTAAGAATTTTCTTTAGAAATCCTCTTTCAGTGAGAGAGTTTCCAACCTAACCAATAAAATTCACGGATTCAAAACAGAGTACGGTAAATTTATGCTAAAACCAAAACTAGATACAAACGGACGCAGAAAATGTTTTCCATTTTTGTTAGGAAACACTGCATGAAGAATATAGGACAATCATTAGTTTACTTCGATGATCAAAATCTGAATTCTCTTTGCTCATGCCATCGTTACATTAAAGCTCTTCAACTGGCTCTTGCTGATCGAGTTCCTATTGTGTTACAGAAGGACAGGTTTTAACCTGCTCTTTCTCAAGGGAATTTTTCTAAATCTATACTCAATACAATACAATTTTAAAATTTCCCTTCCATGTGTTACAGATCAGTCATGGGCGTCAAGTTTGTAATCTGCTTTCTATTGAGTGTCTGCGTAACCATTACCTGGTAAGGACCATGAAGAAGAGGTTGAAGAGAGTTTTTTAATTACAAACTTTGTAACGGTAGATAGCATCTACTTAAGGTATTTTGTATCTCAGTGATTGTAATTTTCTCAAGAAAATAACCTTTATTTGAGGTCGTTGCTAGGATAGCGATAGCCCCTGTCGCTTAGAAATCGTAAAAAAATAAAGTTATAGAAAATTCTAAGCCAAAAGTGGCGGCTGACGAGATGTGGCCAATAACAGCAAGTAGTTTATTAGTAATTTGGAGACACTTGCACCCAATTGTGCCTAACATGCTGCAGTTAAAAAAAAATAAAGAACACCAGACCCGTTTGATGAACAACGACTACATTAATAAAAAAAAGTAACCCAAGACAATTTTTTAAACAGGAATATTGTAAGGGAGTGGCAAAGGAATGGCAAGGAAAATGTTAATTTTTTATCATTTTTCAATTCAGCGCTCCTTGTCCGGTGTTCTATGGAGTAGCAAATGGTAAACTCTACAAAATATATCCTGAACCTCAATTTTCCAAGGAACATTGGATCGGATCAGCCATCGAATTAGGCAGTGGAGGCTGGGGCGACTTCAAGTTCCTGTTCTTTCATCCACACGGCACCTTGTATGGAGTATTACATGGTAAGTTCTACAAGGGGGCATTACGTGAAGGCACCTCGTCAACGGAGTGGATTGCTCAAGCAACCCTTATCGGAACTGGGGGATGGGATGACTTCCAGCTCCTTTTCTTTGACCCTGACGGAATGTTGTATGGCGTTCATAGCGATAAGTTTTACAAAAGGGGTCCGCCAACAGCTGCTAATGACAACTGGCTTGGATCCGCCACACTGGTGGGGTCAGGTGGATGGTCGGTCTTCAAGCGCCTCTTCTTCGATGCACAGGGAAACTTATTCGGCGTCGAAAACGGCAAGTTATACAAGAGGAGTCCTCCCAAACACGCAGGTGACAGCTGGTTAGGATCGGCCACACTCATTGGCTCGACGGGATGGAGTGATTTTCAGTTCCTTTTCTTCACGGTGGATGGTGAGTTGTATGGCGTCAATGAAGATAAGTTGTACCAGCTTCCACAACGTGACGACTGGCAGACCTCCTCGACGCTCATCGGTGAAAATGGCTGGTCCGAGCTTAAATTCCTGATGGCAAATTGGCAAGATTCCTAGCTGTCTTCACATCCAATACTTCTACATTTAAACACGTAGACAATAACCTTTAATGTGGGCTAGACTGTATTAATTAAGTCGGAGTGGAATTAACGTGAAGGGCTTCTAAATGTCTATGAATGTTTCCTTTTTGTAGGAAATACTTAGAATAAATGAAAGACGTACGATGTCATCTGGATTCTGTGTTTTAATTTCTGTCTTGCAGTGAAGATCTCAATGTTGGATTACCGTAAGAACCCATTAGGTTATCATTTTGAGCCGTCGCTAAGAAAAATTTATTGTCAAATAACCTCGTCATTTTTAGTTAGTTCAGAGTTATTTCATGTGCTTTAACTTTTCAATGATCAATGTTCGAGAGGATTTACCTTAGCTCAGACATTTCTCTGTTGATCGAAAATTCTAGAAAACCCGGCAGCGGCAGTTTTTTTCCAATTAATAAATAGTATTTTATTTTATTGTGTTGGAAAATAGTTCTTTAAATATCGCCGTCTCTTTGTACACTGGTACATTTGTGCTTGATCATGCCATAGTATCATTCAGTAAACATCCTTGAGGTTTCACCCGTAATTGGAAAACAGCCATCTGAACATATGTTCCTAACGCAGTTTTATTAAATATAACGTAATAGTTTGGTGCACCAATGGGCGACCGTACAATTTTTACGTGACAAAAAATGGCGGCGAGTAAAGACAGCCCAATGACGATATGGCGCGGTCAGGAAACAAAGATAATTTGGTTAGTTTTTATGTACCGGTGAACCATTTCCAAGTAAATTTAAATAAATAAACACCACCCCTCATGGCGCTTTTTAGGGCAAATGGAAAACCAATGATGAAACAAATAATTCAAATTAACATAACATGGTTAAAAATCCCAACTGGCAGGAGGCAGACTAGTTGGCAAGGGTCTATCGAGAAACAATTCCAGCTTAGTGGTCAGAGAGGGACTCGAACCCGCGATCTCTGGATTTCAAGTCCGGCGCCCTAACTACTCCGCTACGCTGCCTCTTGGGGAAGAGCGAAGAGCTTAGTTTGCACTGGATCATAATGTGGACTAGCATAAAAGGGTGGAGAATGTGTAGGTCAAACTGCAAACATGCTAACTTCTTACAGGCGTTCAGTTATTTGGGGCGCAGCGTGGAAAGACGTCGGAGCGAAATAAAGGAGAGAGAGGCTTGGTGCGAGGGGCCTTCACGCGCCGCGCTTTCATCGTGTCTTTTCGTGCGCCATATTTCGCTCTGCGCCCCAACTAACTGAAAGCCTGGAAGAGGCTACAAACATGCATACTTTTGCATACCTTTGTTTCGCGTTGAAAAAACGCTTAATTTAGTAAAGGTTTGTACGAGCTCTTATAATAACATGCTTTCTAAGGCGTCGTTTCAGATCGTTTGAACTTTCGCTTTAATTTTTCAGAACTCGTTTTGATCCAAGGCTAGAAGCATATTGTATAGTTTTTAAAAGATGCGATGAAGACTAATTTTAAGAATAATCTAATTTATCAGAACAACATTGAAGGAAAAACAAGATGTCACAAAAAAAGTTCTTACTGCGCACGACTTCTTTCTTTTTTCGCAGTTGATGATTCGCTGGCAGAAAAAGCGTGCAAGCAAATTTCCACGTCAGATCTATACCATGTTTGTCAGCGATTGGCTTGAGTATCTAATCCATATTCATAGAAACCGTAAAGTTTTTGCACATTTTCAAACTGTCCATTGATGAGTGAAGACATGTCGCCCAGCTAAGGGACAATTTTACTCCTGAAGGAAGATGGTGCTTGATGCTGAAAGGACCGACCGCTAGGGAAAAAAAAGTCGTCTCTTTATTCCAACCGAAGGTAAGCACTGCGTTTGGAAAACTTTGCTTTAATTTTGTTTAGAAAGCCACACGAGTACCGAATTGTTGCCCAAGCGAGTGAACACGTGTACTCACCGTTCACTTTAAGCGTCGCTTCATCTTGAAACAGGACAGCAAAGCATACATTCATTGAGACGTTTTAAGGGCGGCCAATTTCAGCGATAAACGAGCAAAAACTAATGCTCTGATAAAGTTAACTGAAACCTTATTTTGGAAAAACAAACGAATAATTCAATGTCTTGCTTCAAACCTATTTGAAGTTCAAAAGGTCTGACGTTATTTTTGGGCGGTGACACCTCTTTATTACTCTGCCAAGTTTAGCGTTTCTTTGTTGAGTTTCTTTGCCTTACGAATGTTTGATTTCGCTCCACATCTGAACTTTAAAATAGTTATTTATTAACTCTAGCTTCGCTTCAAGAATTGACATAATGCGGTAGCCTGGTGACTCTCTTATACGTGCGCTAGCTTGGCTTTGAACATTTCAGCGTTTGCTGTTTGTAAATATTTTCATTTCGGTTTTCAGGAATTCAAGAAAGCTGAATTTGACATGGAGGCAAGAAGAACAACAAACCCGGAGAAGAGGACAAACTGAAATCACCGAATAAGATAGAGGGAATTCTTCAAAGATAAGAAATTTTCAGTTGTCAAACTATTCAGTAAAAATGATGGCTGACAATGTCTAAGTTTGCCAGGGAATAATCGCACACCGATGTCTAGACCGGATAAAAAGTAACCTTATTTGGGGGTTGGGGAATGGAGGAAAATACTTCAATTTGTTAGGGGAACATCCCTCTAGCTTCATCAAATCGCATACTAATTGTCTGGATTGGAAAAAAAATCACTCAGTTTAATTAGAGACTTGGGAAAGGAAAGAAAATACGTTAATTTGCAAGGGAACATCACTCTTGGTTCCTCAAATCGCATACTGATTGTCTGGATTGAACAAAAATGACATTCATAAGAAACTGGGAAATGAAGTAAAGTGTGTTGATTCTACACATTTTACACATCAGCCACCATATATTTGCCGATTCTTTTGCAGACTTGATCGGACATTCTTTCAGACTTAATAGCGATCGCTTAATTTTGATAATTTTTAACAGTAGTTCATCTCAGTCGGAGCAAATTCTAACTTGGCTTGATTTAATTCTATAAATTGTTCACGTCAAATAATGATGAAATTTTTATAGTTTAATCGATTATTTAGCTTTTGGAAAGACGTGTTTCGATTGCTTGGCGCTGTTTTTTTAAGAAACGTTTTTAAGAAACGTTTTTAAGCGTTGTTTTCGTTATGTCTGCAAAACAATCGGTGCTTTATAAGTTACTATAACGTAGCAACTACAGTTACTCTATCAACTAAATAACTGTAGTTGACAAGAGAATATGGGCTTTTTAGATATTAAGAACAGATGTCTCCAGATCACCGCTTTTTCTTCTGTTAGAACCCGGACTGACTGAGCACTTACGCACGATGCCAGATAATCGAAGTCAATAACGACTTTGCCGAACACCATTTACTAACAAACCATGGAACCGACTGGTGATCTGCATAATGTATTACAAAAGCCACTGACCTCACCAAAACCAACCAACGAACTATGACTTAATTCAGACAGAACTCACTGATATTTTATACGAATCTTATGTGAAACAACTATTTAATCAGTGTTCACCAACATCACGCGAGTCTGAAACTTTACAGCTGACAAATACCACAGCGAAACGTGCCAAACGGGTCCAGAACTACCATGAACAACACGTACTAATGATACTCCGGGATTCTAACCATTTATTGATAAAAACAATTTGATTTTTCAACATAGGAAATGTTTACAGATGCCTATATTCTCTTGTGATATATAAAGTGCTTGTTATAAAATCCCAGTGCCTGGCTCAGAGGATATTAAGACTAAGAGGTCTAGATAAATTTAGTATTTCCAATTTTCGAGTTATATGGACCACACTGAGATCACACACTGCAATAAGACAATCAAAGTATCGTTTGTGTCGATATCTTATAAGATTTTTGAAAGAAGAAACACCTGCAAACATTAGTCAGTTGTATATTTGTCTGGTTTGACCTTCAATTTTACGCCTTCTTATTGTAAAGGCCAAATAATATTTATAACCAAAATCGCTCGCTTTTCAAACTGTCGAAAATAATAACCTGGAGATGATTGACTCTGCTTCACAATTGTGTTATTTCTCTTTCCTTGTCTCGTTTATATTCAAAATTTTAAACTACAATTACTTTCTTGTGCAGCACATAGCCAATATAAGAAATTTAGAAAATATTTGATTGAAGAAAGGTCTGTTTTTATATCATTTTGCGAATCAACAATCTATTACAAAGCTTGTTTATTTTCCCTTTGCTATTCCGTGTGAACAAAACCTACAATTATTAATTCGGCTTCATAATTGTGCTGCTTTTATCGTCAACATTTTAAATTATGATCGCTTCCCTGTGTTATACATATAAGGAATTTAGAAATCAGTTCAGTTATTTGATTTAAAAGAGGTCTATTTTTTATCATTTCGCGCGTGAATCAATAGCCTATTGCAAAGCTTGTTTATTCTCGTTTGCTATTCGGTGTCGACAAAACCTGCCATGATTAATTCGGTTTCACAAGTGTCTTGTTTATCTACATAATTTTAAATTATGATTTCTTTCTTGCGCTGAACATATATAGCCAAATTTATTTCCTATCTGATTTTTAAAGAAGTTTTGTTTTTAGCTCATACGAATTTCTAAATCAGCAGTCTTTTGGAAAGCTGGTTTTATTTTCCTTTCGCTATTATGTCAATAAAACAATAAATTCATGGTTCACGATAGCCGCTATGTTTGTTTCAACATTGTAATACAAATTGAGCACGTGTTTTCTGAAGAACAAATAATTTGAAATCACAATTTGAACTGCTTTCATGATTTTTCTGATGCGTGTCTTCATAACTGCGCTTTCAAAAATGTATTCGCCCCATTTCGTTGTGTTCATTGTGGTCCGTATAAATTATATTTCGTTATTTTTTTATATATTCCATCAAATGTTCGCGTTTACTAAGGGTGTGATTAAAGTTCCAGAATTAAATAACTTCAGTTATTTTAACCAGGCACTTGGGTTTTATGTTAAGTTGGTTTTTGGAAAAGATTTCGTTGTAAGTGGATGAAAACCTTTTAATTCCGGCAATCGTTGTAACACAGGACATAGGGTTGATATGAATTAAAAGAAAATAGGACTCTAAATTATTCGTTGAGCTGATTTCTGAATTGTTGAAATTGAAATAAAACCTGAAATCAGCAAAGAGTAAGATCAAAAGCAAATGTCGCGTGGCCAGAACAACAGTTGAAATTGTCTGTACTACTCCAGAACTTTGTAACTGTTGTTACAGATCGTTTAGGACGCGTGAATTAGCAAAACAACAGTTAAAATAGTCTGTACAACTCCAAAA